TTTTCATTAAATACTTTTCGAGTTATAAGGCTTGAAAGTCACCGTACCACTGGCATTAACATTACCCAAGGTGTCCAATGGACGGCTAAAACTTCTTGAACGTTGTTCAGGATCATGGTCTGGATAATATTTGTCAAGATCAAGGCTACTGGAGGTTGTGCCTATTATTTTCATTTTTGCACAGAAAATTCATTTTTATAAAACGTAAAAATGAAAAAAAGAGTTACAACCTCCATTGGCCTTGATCTTGTCAAATGTCATCCAGACTATGATCTTGAATAACATTCAAGAAGTTTTAGTCATCCATTGGATACAGACATCTTGGGTGATGTTAATGCCAGCGATACAGTAACTTTCAAGCCTTATAACTCGAAAAGTAACTTATATAATAAAAAAATATCTTATTATAGTATTTTGGAAAGCTCTCTCAAGGAATCTCCAAGAAAATACAATAAAAAATGGGAGGTTCCACTTAAGAAATTAAAAGTGACCTTTATGTGATCTTCATACAATAATTCAAGGTTAAATTAAAGGTCTGTCTAATGACCCCCTCGAAACTATACAACTTTTGTCTAAAACATTTTTCCGTATCCTCCACATTTTTCGAAATATTTATCTGGAGCGATTAAAATGAAACACACTGTGTATATATTATATATATGTATGTATTATATGTATATACTCAACCTAAAAAATAAGAGCTTCTCTTTCTGTATCGATGAGTAATTCAAATTTTTTTAAATTTCTAATATAGCAGAAATTTTTATTTATAATGTCAAAGATTCTCAATATTTTTCTATTATTGGTTCTATTTTAGCGATATTTATTATTAGGTAAATTATATCGGAAAAAGTAAAGATACATTCATTTATATACAATTAATGCCTGAACCATTCTTTTAATTTATGAAATGTAAATAGGTCGAGGAAAATCCGGTGGTTATAATTTTTTTCAGTATTGAGAAATATTGAGCAATTGTTGTTGCACTACTTTACATTAATAAAATAAAAAAAAGAATATACTTAAGTAAATATTGCAAACATAATTTTTTGATAGAATCTGAATTTGCTAATCACTCTGCTCACGTATACAGACTCAATAAAGTCAACAATAAACTCAAAAACTCTTTTTGGGAGAGGAATTTAGTTATAGACGATATCCCCCTCCATGATCAAATTCCAATTTCAAGTCTGATTCTCTCTTATATAAATCAGTATTTGTTTAACGGATATAATGTCGTGTCCATGACTCACACACTTAATACAGCGCGGTGTGCAACGTAAAATTATATTATTTAATCACATTACGCAAATAGTTAAAGGTTAAATCAATTAGAAAACATTGTAACACAAGTCTATTTGTTATTGTTATAATCGAACTGTAAATGATAGCTTATTGATATACCTGGCAAGCTCGTTATAGTGCATTATTGCAAAAACATCTTAGATTAGCAAAGTAATCGTTTAAAACGGCTATATTGTAGAATACAAATTCTTCTGATTAAAAAGACATTAAATGATAAGAAATCGAAATTGAATAACGTCCGATGAAAAAATGTGGCAATAAAAATCCGGAATTTTTAATCGTTCCTGATATAACTTTTGTCGTAGTCACCAAGTCTAGTTTGTGAATTCCGTTTTGTAGCGAGTCATTAAATATAGCGGGTAAAGAATACCGTCTACATCTTCTTTTCTTGCTGCATCTATAGTTACGCCCATAATTTGGTTAATAAAACCGGTTTCTAATTGAATTCATATAGCTTGAACTATATATAGCTTGTCAATTAATAAACTACACATAGACATGTTTTTACCATCATAATCGTTCTCGTCGCGTGACTAGCTTGTATTTATTATTAATGGAAATGCAAACGGATCTAGACGCGTATAATGACTATATGTATTTGAGCTAATTATCAATGAGAATGAAATTATGTTAATTACGGTATATTTTGATGATCTGTCCTGCGGAGTTATAAAGCATTAAAAATTATTCTCGAAAATCGTCTAAGGCCGATGTTCATAATTTATTTTATATTTAAGATCATTTTAAATAAAATCTTAAGATGACGTAAATCATAATTACAGAACCGTGCTAACATCGTAAGACATTATTTAGAATAGTCTTGAAACAAGAACCGAAAATTATGGAAATACCAGTCTGACATTAAATTTCTGTCATGTTATAATAATCATCTGTGTGATTTAGTAATTTTAATATACTTTTAATATATCCATATTTTGATCTTCCGGTAATGTGATTTTAAGACATAGTTGATTTGTTTATTGTGAATTTCAAGAAAATGAATAAATAATAGGATATATCGCCTATCTAAAAAAAAACTTGGTAATATTGAGATTGTGTATGTACAAGGACACTAGTTGTTTGTTTCATTGCAAGGACGAATAGATGCCTTTTCCATGCCCTCAGGGACTGTATTACAAACCGCGTAAGATTTTATGTAAATAAAAAATTTAGGTGTTTTATATCTTTTTGACGTTAATTTTAATAAGTATAAAGACTTTTACGTTTAAAATAGATTTTTCTGTATTTTATATCATTTTTACAATAATTTAATTGCAAAATCAATATTTATGAAAATACATCAGACATACATAATTCACAAAATATTTGAAATTAAAGAAGAAACTCCAGAAAGACTCGATAAATTAAAGAAATGCAGAAAATTCAGTTTGCTGTTGGTAAAATGAATTATATACCTATATTTATATGTATTATACCTTATATGTTAATATAATAAAGAGTTAAGTATATAAGGATTCATGTGTGTGTGTGTGTTGAGTCAAAATCCACAAAGATACAGAATATAGCGTAAAATATTTAATTTAAATTTAAATTTAGTAAGTTATACATTAAAAATATATATATTATGGATTCCTGGATTTAATGTTTCCGAACGGCATAGTTTACTAACAGTTTCCATTGAAAGTATGCTGAAATGTCGACATGTCTTTCGTGAGTTGATTTCCTATATTGAAATCTTTAAGACTTTTATTATGTCATGCTGCAAGTACTGTAGTCACGTTCGCTCGTGCATCGACGCATAATACGTACGATACCATCACTAAAAGTCGTCCTCAACATCGCACATGTCAAAATATATTGGCATTGCTTTCTTTGATGTTTCGTAAATTTTGGTAATAGCCTGACACTTAACACTAGAACTGTCGATCATTTCGACTTCAAAAATTAATAATCATTTCAATTTTTTTGTTTTTGGTTTAGATATGCATTATTAAAAATATGTGAATTAAAAATATGTGAAATATTAAAAATATGTGAATAAAGTATAAATATACTTTATTATATAAATTCCAATGATACAAATAATGCCAAATTAAATTTTTGTTAACCGAAAATAAGGATAGGAAATTACTAAATTGACAGGTTTAGCGAGATACAATTGGCAGTTTCAGTATTGTATTAAGATACAAAAAAATCATTATGACTGAACATACGACTTATACATTCTAAAAAATATATGGATTTAACATATTGTTTAATCTCATTCTGTTAATGTTGATATAAAAATCAACATGGATTTAACACCACTGCAAATTTTATCATGGTGATGTTTCAGCAGCAATACGGTGAGAATTATAGGTATAAACACCGCATGTCTGGTGTTAAATTCACACTCATATCTTTTAGAGTATACACATACGATTATCACGTCTTCTTCAACTAAGCAATGATGTAAAAAAAATAATTAATTAACATAAATAAAAAATTGATTAAGTACGTAGTACAATTAGTATTAATCACGTAGTACAATTTAAAGAATTTAAAGAGAATGGGGTTTATCAGTTTTGGCTTCCGAGAGACTCATATGTTGCAGAGTATCAGTACGGTAATTAAGGTCAATACGTTTTCTGCGGATGCATGCATTCCTTGTCGCTCGACTTCAATAAGATACGTCAATAAAGAATCTTCCGTTGAGGTCTTGATTACACTCGTGCAAGTCAGATCTCACTGTACTATATTTATATCGAAGACAAAGAAATCATTTTCTTCTTCTATCGAGACTTGCTTGTAGTTGTTTGGACTTTCTCAGAATCGAAAGAAGGCACAGTCGATACTCTCCGAATCTTACGCACTCGTGAATCAACGTGATCGGCATCCGTGCGGTACGCGCACTTGGCATGAATGCATATGAACGGCCTTCGATTTATAAAAGTACGATTACACGTTTTTTCAAACTCACGAGGGAAATTTAGTATCCACAGATCATCGTTTTGTTAATCGCGTGGAAACTCTCTCGATATAACTCCCCGTCATAAATTTCGATGAATCGTCGAAGTTCACCATTACTTAGTGCTCAAGAGGCATAAGTATTTACTCCTTTCCACGTGCCTGATCGAAGGTTAATAGGATTTTGTTAATTAAGAGAATCGTCAGCATACGAAAGGTGTGAATTTTGATTGCCACGAGTGGATTTTACAGTTAACGACTAATGTTTAAAAGATGAAGTCGGTGCTTGCGCTACAAATGGCGATATGCTCCGCGTTGCGTCGGTGCAACTTGTCTACACGTCCGTCAACAAGTTTAAAATTATTTGTTCGCTACGCGAGCACGATTTGCTTGATTAAAAATGTACCGTTTTATACGAAAATCACTCGTTTATTCATTTAGTCTCTCACTGAATTCGAGATTTGTGATCCTTTCGCGACTTTTTAATATTTAAATTAAATTAAAATATATTTGCATTAAAACCATTTATAGCGATGAGTATCAAATAGCGAAACTGAAATCATAACAGCCTATCGTGTTTTTCAGAGCAGATGAAATGAACAATTCTCGGAATAACTATAATTTCGACATTTTTATTCTAATCTTCGCAAAATATACCTGTATCCTTACGAGATATGGTTGGCGAAATGTTAGATAATTTCACAATTTGTTACGAATTCATTACGAAATAGATATTCTACTGTCTCTCCTGTAAGAATAGAACGTAATAGAGCTCTGATATCGCTTACCATAGTGCGGATTCGTGTGATGCACTTCCGGCCTGTCGTCACTCCATATAACTTTCTCGGTGTCGATCGTGTAATTACCGAGGCTGCTGATCAGCTCGACGAAAGTGAAGTTCTTAGTCGTGTCGGTCTTGTTACGCGAAAGCACGCGGAGTATGTCCTCCTCCTCGAAGGTAGCGAGACTGTTCGAGGATGTCAAGACTTCCACCGGTGACTCGGCACGCGACAGACCGATCAGACTGAAAATCGCCCAAATCCTCACAAATGTCCCCATTTCGCCCCTCCCACAAACGTGTCGCCTGATGACGAGTGTCACGCAGGTTTAATTCTTTCGTACCGCGATCGTAGGTCTCTTTCAAGATATCGATACGGTATGGACGATCGATCGTTGGATCACGTTCGCATTTGCGCGATCGTCATTGGGAAATCTCACTGTCTAGCCCTTTTGTGGGAATTATTCGAGTCACCGAAAACGCTCTTTTCCCCGAGAAAGTGATAGAGTCGTGAACGAGACCGCTCGAAGGAATGACACGCGGGCTGTATTCGAATTTATTCACGATCTCCGAATTGCCCGGCTGTTCGAACGCGAGCTTTACGAGTGATCGCAGCTCGATCGTAGAACGACGAAGTCACCTGTTCCACCTTGCCGATAGGGAGGCCGAGAAGAGGGGTGGATACCATACCGCACACACGTCGTTCGCTCCCACTCTTTCCGTTTCGAGGACCTCGCGTCGAAAAAAATCATGTGAATAGATGTAACTGCGAGCAGGAGTTGTTTACGGACCGATGAAATGCCGCCTCGTGTTAATGGTGTTTGAGAAAGCGAAAAAGAATAGGACTATTCGCGTTGCTTGCACCTTTTGTACTCGGTGTGTCTTCGCTTTCTCTTTCTCTTCAACGTCCGAATATATATATTTATTTCTTTTTAAGCGTACATTTTTGGGGGATTTCAAGTAGCACAGAGATAATGACCATGAAATATTTATGAAATTTATCAAAATTCCGTGAATATTAGTTTGAGATTCTGTTCGGGACCATTTATACTCAAGGATATATTGAGTCACGTTTTTCGGCTGGTTTTTTATTCGCTCGAGGGCACTTATTAGAATAGACGAGAGACAATGAACCAAGAAATAATAGAGTCCAAATTCCTGGAACATCGCTTCGAAGTTCGAGTCTGTGAATTGATGACACATTACGTTTTTCGACTGGTTTTTTACCCGCACGAGAACACTCGTTAAGAAAGAGAGGATTTCTTATAAGAATTAAAAAGAAAAATACTTGACATTTGGAGATTTCTATAGACACAGCTAAAGGAAATTCCCGGGGATCTCCCTGTGACTAAACGAATTAAACGATGTATAATATTTTGAGAGATAAACTTTTAATACCCGAGCGAAAATACTTGTTAAGAAAGAGAAGATTACTTATAAAAAAGAGAAAAAACTTGGCATTTTTCTATAGATACAGCTAAAGAAAAAAATTCTCGAGGATTTCACTCTAACTAAATGAATATTGAGTGACGTACAATATTTTAAATTTTAAGATTTGCGATATTGTAAAGTGATTATTTTTAATTCTGTTATTTGCGTTTTTTGATAATTTAAAATTTCTTTTACTATTACTACTCTTTTTTTTTTACTACTCCTTTTTGACTATTTCATTAAAAAGAAAAAATTTTAAAAAATTTCTGACTCTTAATTTGTCTTTCTACTTCACCATTAGTTTTAAACTAAGAGTCCTTTCCTTTATTTATTATTTTGTTTTTAAATTTTGAATTTTTGATAAAGTATCAATTATTAACGTTGTCGCAGTTATTTATACGATTGCCTTGAAATGATTGTACATTTGTCACGGATTAAAAAAAATAATAATTTCTCCGTATTTCAAAAATAACGTACTCCAGCGTGTACTTGAAAATGCACGCGTGTGAGAACATCGAATTGACGAGTTCAAGGTCAATGTGAGAAAGTGAATCGTATATTTGAGGATAGAGCGATTACAAGGATTTATATAAGAGAATGAATCGTAGTTCGTAAAGTATTTCGATAAAAGGGAAAATTACGTTGCTCCGTTACTGCATTGTGGTAATCAAACGAGTGCCGTCCGTAACGAGGTGCCGTTGCAACAAGAACGCATTTAGATTCGATATTGTTCTATGCGCTGACAATCAATTAGGATTCGACGACGGTTTAGTGCGGTCATTCATAAGCGGGACGGTGCTGATGATTCGAGATCAGCTTACACTTAAAGCTATCCTTGAGACTTTCCGTTATTGTCTTTGTTAACTGACGACCACAATTTCTGTTAACAGTTACGGCCTTGAAAAACTGAGATTACCATCTAAGACCGTTTCGTTATGTAAGATGTGAGAGACAAAAGAAACTGTAATCACTGTAGACCTTCAGTTTTTAGAAAGAAAACATATTCCATCTCACGAAATTATTTTTGCAACATAAGTAGGGTTACCAACCCAAGGCCGCAGAAAAAGAGTACATTGGTTGCCAAAAAGAGTACATTTTCCAAAAAAAAAAAAAAAAGGAAATGGAGAAGAAGGTTTTCTCTATTGATTGCCGGTAGATATTCAATAAAATGACATGTGTGCAATGTAACTTCCAAATATATGTTGATATAATAAAAGTAATATTTGTTTGCGTTTTAGTGACTACATTTGTACATATAACATTATTAAAATTGGAAAATTAAAATTAATTCGAATTAAAAAAAAACTCAATCTTTTATGTAACACAAACGTATATATATGTACAGTCTTCAGATGTCACGAACCAATTAGAGGGCCGCATTCGCATCTTAAGACATTACTTAAGACAGTCATCAAATAAGAACTGACTATATGAATACCCAGAATACCTAACACAACCTAGTACAAACCAAGCATAACTTTGTATAAATTTATAAATATTAAATAATAATTTTTTAAATTTTGTCTCATTTTTAAAAAAAGAGTACAATAAGTGAAACGTAAGAGTACACTGTTTTCCGATCTCGAAAAGAGTACATGTACTCTTTGAAGAGTACGGTTGGTAATCCTAAGCATAAGTGTTTTATCTTATGGATCATCTCATGTAAAAGTGTCTTGTGAGGTAATAAAAGAAGGTTCCTTTTGTCAACATCACTCGCTGCCTTCGCTATTTACTGAGCGAAATTGTAGTACATCGTTGCGAAAATTCTGATGGATACGCATGATAATAAATGATAAGTCGCGTTTAATTTTGCAAACATAATATAAATTGTGTGTATGTTACACAATCGTCATTTTTTTGTTCGAGTTCTTCCGGTCCAGTACACGTTCACCTTGCCTTTCTTCCGTAGGTTCAACTAATTCGAGGTCAGTTTATGCGCGTATGTGTAACAATCCGATTATCATTGAACTAGAAAATATGTTGCAATATCTCGGAATTATTAACATATTAGACTGTCACAGGTTCATTATTCTTGCGTTAAGAGCGTTAGAAATTATTGTATGCAAAATCTGATTTTGTTGTGCAACGGCATTGAAAGCACGCAATTCGTGGCCGTCCTCAGCCAGAAATGGTTGGTCGATCGACGTTGAATCAGCATTGATCGACTAGTTATTTCTGGCTGGGTCGCTGTTCACAATCTTAAGAGATAATTAATTGATTGCGTTATCGTTATTTCCGCGAGAGTGGCTCGTGTCTGACGTTCAACTATCATTAGCGATTATATTAACTTTATTCAAGATTGTCGAGATTAAGATACTCCGTTGATTGAAAACTATTTGAGATAGCAGTGTTTCTATTAAGAAGATAGTAACATTGAAATCGAAGACTTAATTTATCATAATACTAATTTAATGTGGAGAGGGAATATTATTATTTCAATTTGTTTTTATATTGTAAGTCCGAAACTAATTGGTGCGCAGTCATGTATCTAAAATTTTATTTAAAGTACATATATATGTATTATTTCAATATCTAACTTTGATCGGCGCTTCTCTTACTTAGTTATAATATAAATTACTTTTCGTTATGATATAAATAGTGCTGTTCCTAATTTTGGTATTATTAATGTTCCCGTGATCAGGGATCGTGAATACGCAATGAAGTTGCATCACACTGATCGTGAGGGCGATCATAAATTTATTGTGCTTCTATAAAAAGTTACTAGCCAAACGCAAAGATCATCCTTGAAGGTAATCGACTACGTGGCCTTGGATATTGTCTCGGGTGGTCGACCTATCATTAGTTAGATTTTGATCATTGCTGACTAATGCATACCTTCTTCCCTTATTTGGGAATCCTTCTTCCTTTATCTGGGAATTCATCATGAATTCAAGTTTGACCATTTTGCAAATTTAATCTGGGCTCTCCAATCGTCACGAGATTAATATGCACACGTCATGTAAAAATATCTTGACGTTTTCAGACGTTTTTTCTTAAATTTTTTTTCTTTTAGCATATTAATATTTTGCATGTCATATTTGCGTTTATATACATGCGTGTTTACTCACAAGAGTGTAAGTAAGTGTTGCCTATCATATTTGAAAGTCTAATTAACTCTCGATACGTGTTGTCACACAATGCCATATGCATTTACACAGACATTTTCTAATCGAGATGCTATAATAGTATAACTCAATTCATAGAGTATAGAAACTCAACCATCGTTTGCAAAATCTGTTTTACGATTATATATTATTAATGAATTGATTATATACTATTCCCTTATTTATTCTCCGGAGTAAACGATACGTTTTAATAACGATTATCGAGAAATTAAATTTCATTATACAATTTTTTTTTTTAATTGTAAAGGAAATGCTAGAGATTCGGGTTCGATTCCTGGCCGAGGTAATATTTTATATTCACAATAAGAATTAATTAAAATTATAATTGTAAGAATTAATTATTTACAGATTCTAATATGTCAATTAACATCATTAGGTAAGCTCATTCTAAGATGCGTAAGAGTATCGAATTGTTAAATTGCTAATCAATTTAATTCGTGATGTTACTGCGGTAATGTATTAGGGTTTGCGTTTGAAGAAAAAATTATTTTGGCTCGCAGTTTAGGATTACAATGTGTAATATATAAAGTCACACAGATTTATACAAGCTAGGATTTATACAACCTAGCTAGGATCGAGCTAGATCGTTAAAGACATTGATTTTCATTGGTTGTGTGTTTTCCTTTTTGTTATTTTATATATAAAATTAAAAATATTTTAAATATTGCAAAATCACTTACTTAGTATAATATTAATTAGCAAAACAAATGATTTAATTCACTATA